AATATCTTATACCCGATTTTATGATTTTTGATTTTATACATTTCACCTTAATATCGGCCTATTATATTAAAAATTTTCAACTAGTGATTAAACTGTCATCGACAGTATTTTTATGAATGAACTTTTAGGTGCTTTAGTATCATAGACTGATAAGATAATATAGTGTGCCATAATGCTAAGTTAAGGATCGTGTAATAAGTCAAATATAAGAAAGAATTTTATGATTTTTAAAGAACTCTATTGAAAAAAAAATAATATAATAAAAAAAAATCAATAAACAAATAATAAATAAAATAAAAAAAAATGAAATAAAAAAAAAACAGAAATAGTATTACAATAGGTTAAGAATAATAAATTTCAAAGAGCTGGAAGCACACCAAGGCCACAGTTTAATTATATTGAACTGTGAACGTCCTTTTTTGTTTTTTATTACCCAAAATTCTTTGAGCAATGAAAGATTCAGTAGTCTAGAGGCCTAATAAAATATTGGATGTTAAGGTAAGAATAATTGAATATGGTATATATACCCACTTGCTTATGTATTCTGCTTTTTGCTAATCAATTTTGATTATGTTAACTATCTTTAACTGTATTTTATTGGCTAAAGATGCAGATTATCATATATACAAGTGGGTATAAAAATTGCATCAATTTTTTTTTGTTTTTTGTCGTGTTATTCATCAATTCTTTTTTGTATTACATTTCTTATATTTGATTTTTTTTCCTTTGCTCTAAAATTAAATCACATATATATAATGATGGTTCATAGAAATAAGTTTACCAAAAGAGCTACTATTACTGAGAAAAAGCACTGAACTTGGAATGCTCGAAAGAAACTTGCGGTTGTTTTATATCAGAAAAAAAATGGCAGTATGCGTTCTACTGATGCTAAGTTTAATATTGAACCAAAGCAAGTTCGTAATTGGAGAGAAAAAAAGGAGATGTTAATGCAAGCAAGGCCTCATATCAAATGTTTAGGTGGTGGATTAAGAGCAAAGTATCCAGAATTAGAAGCGATTATTTTGTCTTGAATCAAAGAATTTCATAAAGAAGGAAAGCAGGTTACTAGATATATGGTACAACTCAAAGCAAAAGGGTTAGCGAAGCAAAAGACATGGGTTAATAAGTATCTTGATATAGAATTATTTATGTTTTCTAATAATTGGGTAGACAGCTTTATGATGCGAAATAACTTGAGCAATCGGCGCAGAACAACAACTGCACAAAGACTACCGGAAGATATGATTGAACAACAACAGAAGTTTTTGTCCTTTGTGTTATATCTGAGAATTCAGCACAATTATAAGTTAAGATTTATTGGTAACATGAATGAAACACCTTTAACTATAAACCTTCTAGAAAATCTAACTATTGATGAGTGTGGAAATCGCACAATTAGTGTATTAACAACGGATCATAAAAAATCACATTTTACAGTAGTTTTGGCCTGTATGTCTAATGGAATGAAATTGTCTCCATTGGTAATTTTCAAACTTAAAAACATTTCACGAAGAAACTTTCCTCTAGATATTTTTGTGCATGCAAATTTATTTGGTTAGATGAACGAATCTGAAATGGCATGGTAGATCCATAATATCTGGACTAAGCATTCTTCTCCTTATTCAAAACCACGATCACTTTTAATTATGGATTCATTCAGGGCACACATTACGGATTTATCAAAACAACATCTTAAAAAACAAAAAACTGACATCGCTATAATCTCTGGAGGTATGATCTCGAAGCTTCAGCCCCTTGACGTTGCAATAAATCAATCATTTAAGGAGAAGGTAAAAAAATAATAATAATAATAATTATTATTATTTAACTTTTGTTAAAAAATAATTTAATTATTACTAGATGAGAAAAAAGTATATTTCTTGGATATTAAATGAGATTAAGGAATATACAAAAAGTGGTAAAATTAAATGGCTGTTATATGAATTGCTTGTAGAATAGGTTAGTGCCTCTTGGCAAGAAGTTGATATATCCCTAGTTAGAAAGTCATTTAAGTGTTGTAGCATTTTTAATAATCGAGATGGATCAGAAGATGACTTAATTTTTGATTATGATTGTTTAAATAATTTGAATCAACTATTTAATCACATTATAATAGTAGATAAAGAGGTTCAAGAATTGCTATTAGAAAATTGAGAAAACATTCTGTTAATTAATGATCTTGAATTAGTTGATGAAGAAATTGGCAATAATCATTATGATGAGAATGAATTGAATTATGCAAATGTTTGGGAATGATTAAATTTTGAAATAAAAAATTTATAAATTTTGCAAGCAGTTTTACGAAATTTATATGAATTTATGTTTGTTTTTATATAATATTACTAAAGGCTTATAAAATGTATAAAATATTTATAACTGATAAGAAATTATATTAAGTCATATATGTAGATTTATATGGTTTTTTTATCTAATAATTTTTATAAAAAAAAATTTGTTAAATATAAAAACAAGCATTTAGCATAATTTTTGTACTCTTCTTTAACTCATAATTAGTATGGTCAATCACTTATTAGCCAATAAAAATAAATTTATGTATTATATAATTTAATTGGTTCTTGGTTTGTTAGAAAATTATACCCGGGTATAAATCAATATTTTTAAAAGACAATATTGAAATGTACCTGGATCTTAATTTAGAGGGTATTATTCTAGGGGGATACTGAATGCAGTGCTTTACAGTATATTGTTATATTTATTTTTAGCTATCTATAAAAATATTAATTTAAATATAGCTAAACAAACTAAACCATTTTTTATACTTTATCTAATAATCTTAAAACTAGTTTATAAAGAAATATTTACTATACAAAATTTTCTAATAGCAATAAAGCAAGTTAAAAATATTAATTTTTTTTAATATTAAGACCAAGCTTTATTGATATTTATTATTGATCATATAGATTTATATTTTGATATTATAAGAGCATAATCTAGCCACATATGCAACTTTAGATTGCTTATTTAAGTAGTCTACTAAAGGTTCTATACTAGTTGTCATATCTGCAATCACTTGAAGTTTACTTATTTAAACTCTCTGATTATATATACCTACTAATTATTTTAAACAAAATACCTTTATACTAAAGTTTTCTACCAGTTAGTAGATAGTCTTCCATTATCTTTTACTGCTAGTTTCTGATCTTTATAAGATTTATCTAAATTCTAGTTCCTACTTTACAGCATATCTTTAATACTTTAGTATCTTATTTATAAATCTTTCTAAGTAGTTCAATATAGACACAAATCACTAACTCTTCCTAATAATCTCTTATACCAAGTTTTTTTTAAAAACAATTACATTTTTCTGAATATTTTACTAAATAAATACATCATAGCTGCTAAGTAAAATTAGTTTAACAAATTTTATATATAAATAGCCTAGTTTTATATCTTTAAAAGTCTTTATTACAGAGATATAACTAAACTAGTACTTCTTACTTCTTTTGATAAAAACTTAAAATTTTACTAATTAAACTACTATTGCTTTTTAAGAGAAAAAGATTAGGCTTACTTTGAGCTTTATTTTGATATATAATATATTATAAACAGATTAAAACTGCTAATCTTATAACTAAAATACTTTTAAACTCTGTTAAAAAATTGTATTTAATTTTTGTTAAAATTTTTTTCTTTTTTTGAAGAATTATGCTTCTCTAAGATGTTTAGACATGCAGTTTCTTGATTATTAATTAAGATTATAAATTAATTTATATAATTATTCTCTATTTTATCTATTTTTAATTTAAACTTAATTTAACTAATTTATTTTCAATTATATTATACAACATTTGCTTTATATAAATCTTCATTAGTATAGGTGAGTATATATAAATTATTACAAGATTATAATATATAAAACTTCATTAAGCCTCTATGATTTGGAAACATATTACAACAAATTCTTTAACTATTACCATCTCTAATTACTAAAAGAACTACAAATAATCAATTCCTTTTACAACATCTATGACAAAACAATACTAACTATTCAGCTGACTATAGTTTTATTACTATTAATAGTGACAAAATTGAAGTATATATATACTTATTACACTAGGAATCAGGAACTGATATAAGTCCGGAGTTTAAATAAAAAATTAATTACTTTAAAGTGTATAAATAAAAATTGTTCTTTGTATTGCAAGGTAACAATTAAAAAAAGTGTAACGATATGATCAAAAAATATAATGATCATTAGTGTTCGAAAAAGTCAGCACGGATCAGATTTGGATTTGTGCAGATCCAAACTATTGGATTAGGTTTGGCTCCTGAAATGTCAGATTGGGCTGGGATTGAGTGAGATTGGGTCTAATTTTAGGTCATGTCTTTATATAATCACTTTATGTGATAAATTCGAATTTGTTATGTGATAAATTCGAATATATCACACCTTGTATTACAATATAAGTGACAAATTTGCATTTGTCAAGTGATAAATTCGAATTTATAACTTATATTGTGACAAATATATGTGACAAACCGTTAGATTAGCACAGATCACTCCCAGATTCAATCCGAATTATGGATTTGGATCGGATTCAGATCAATCCCAGATTAATTGAGATTTTTAATCTGTTTTCAAACACTAATGATCATGTAACACATAAGTATCAATAAGCATGTGAGTAGTAGCCAATCAAGTAAGCAGAAATGAACAGATAGACATATATAACATTATCAATCAAACAGTGTTGTAAAAACAGAGTATCTTTTGCTTCACTCTGGACAATAAACTTGATATGCTACCAAACTACTATGTCCTATAAATTTATGATTCTTAAGATATTACTCTAAAATTACAATCTAATATATCTACTTTTTCATCTATCTCTTCTACCTTTTTAGTATCTAATTCTTCTCTTAAACTCAATATTATAATGCATAATATTCAAGAAGTTAATATATCTAAACAAAACTACTATTAGAAAATTACTGCTTAATACACAATTTACATATTGTTAGTCTAACTGAAACTAAAATGTCTAATACAGTACCACCAAGTTTTAGAACACTCAACACTACACCTACTTTTAGTCTAATCTACTAAAATTTAAAAAGGGCACATATATTATAGTTCATAACAATATTTAACTCTACATATACAACATTATAACTTATTCTAAAGGAGCTATTGCAGTAGACCTTTACTTTAAACAAAACTATAAACTTAGAATCATTTTGATATACTTCTCCTCTACAAATACAACTGCCTATAAACTTACACAAAACAAAGTTATAACATAAATATAACAAGCCAGACTGACCAATCTTTATCCTATTGTACTTGGAGATTTTAATGCAAACAATAATACTATAGTATCATCAGCTATCAAATTTCAACTACTTAATTATTTGCATAATACAAATATATATAACTTAGCTGATTATACAAACAATTTACAAAATATCTAGAATAGCACCAAATACTACACTAAAATTAATTATATATAGGTCTATAAAGAGCTTATACTATATTTATATAACTTTTAACTAAACAACTCTTTATTCTCTACAAATAGTGATCATATATTTTCTCTTCTACTTAAATTTTCCTATTTGCTCTATCTAAAACTATGCACAAAAGTAAAAACAAATATAGAGTCTTTAACTACAAAACAATGTCTAAAGAAAATTGTGAAAATTTTACAGAACAAGTAAATATTAACATGATTTAACATAAAGTTCTGATAATAACAAATATATCTGAAAGCTTAGAAACAACATGTTATAAGATTTATACTTGTATCATCAATGCTGCACTTCAACATATTCCTAACAAAAGTATATATTCAAAAACTTCTCACATATCTTTATACCAAAAGCTACTCAATTATATAAAAATCTCAAAACTATTGATTATATAATATACTATATTAAAAAATACTTTTTTAACCAAATCTTTTTACCAAATAACATTTAACACTTAATACAATTAATAATAAACATGAATTCTCCATTGAACCACCTTAAAGAGAATTATACAATCTTAAAATATATTAGAAAACTCTTT